AGTAAAGCACCAAAGGAAGGTACATAAAGGGGTAGCCCACACCTCACTATCAGATCCCACAACAACGAAACACCTGACGCGAGACAGCAGGCCCGCCGGCCGAACTAGACAGGTCCTTCATACAACCCACCAACAAACTATTCTACCCAAGAAATAAGAAATTTAAAAAATCATTATGTGTCCAATGTATTATTAAATTCTTCGCAAATTCTATTAATTATAAAAGGATCTAATTTATATAAACCAAAAGAAATATTCATATTATTGTCAAAACTGCTTTTTATGAAACAAGATTCAATTATATTCCTGTCGACCATGGACTTGCTTGATACTACTTTCTCAACTTTTTGAAAATCAATTGGATGGTTAAAATCTCTTACATGAATAAATAGAGCATTGGAATCTTGTCCAGTTCTAATGCTATATTTATGTTGTTTTAATCTTAGTTCGAGATTTTTACCAGTTTGACCGTAATAAACTTTATCGCAAATTTTACAATGAATCTTATAGACACATCCATCAGCATTTTGGGGGGAATTCTTTATCAAAAGTTTTTTTTACTGTATCAAGATTTTTGAATACAACTTTAATATTAAAAGTCTTAAGAAGAGAAGGCATAACAACCAAGTTTTCATGGTAAGGGAGAACCAACATATTTTTAGTTGAATAAGGCTGGTTGTCCCTTTTTGGATTGTAAAAAGTATTTCTAGCAACTTTAAAAGATTTATCAATTACATTTCTTGGGTATTTCAAATCATTACCTATTTCATAAATTTGGGATATTTCCTCATCTATGAACTCTGGACTACAAATTCGTAAAGCTCTCAAAAACATTGATGAGAAAACAGACAGTTTAACTCTATCTTGATGGGAGGAATAATAGTGGACATAGGAACAGTTATTTGTAGGTTTTCTGTAAATTTTAAATTTGAATTCATTATTACCCTTAATATTTAAAACATCTAGAAAAGGCAATGAGTTATTTTCTTCAAATTCAACAGTAAAATTTATAGAATGGGTTAAGCTATTTAATTTGCCAAGAAAATGCTGTATATCTACAACCTAATAATAATACACTGGACAAACAATAATTTTTAAATTTTCTTGGGTAGAATAGTTTGTGGGTGAGTTGTGCAAAGCACCTATCCAAGTTGGGTCGGCGCGCGTCAGGTGTTTAACCGTTGTGGGATCTGATAGTGAGGTGCTGGCCAGACCCCTTATATAGCTTCCTTGGATGCTTTACTTTCATAGTTCCTTGATAATGTGAGTAGTCACGAAAGCCCTTGGAATTTATCTATTCTTTCAGAGTGGTTGTTTTGCATATTCTGAAATCACCTGTTTACTGTGATCTTATTGCATATATATAATATATATATATAATTATATATATATATATATATATTAAATTATATATATATTATATATAATATATATAATATATATATATATATATATAATGTCGTGCCGAATAGGCAGAACTTGCGATCTTGGCTTAAATAGCAACGCTCATCTTGCCATATAGGACAAGTGAAAATTTGTGTATGCAATAATTTCGCCAAAATCATTCTGAACCTAACGAAAAAAATATATTTGATTGTGTTTGTTTAGTACTAAATTATTGTAAACGTATTAAAATATATTTAGTTGGGTTAGGCTAAAATAAATTGTTCTTTTTATAATAAGGTTAGGTAAGTTTTCTAAGATTCTTTTGGTGCAAAATTAAAAATTTTTACATTAACATTAATGAAAAAAATATATCTTTAAACGTATAAGAGAAAATTTCAGAAAGGACTTAATTTTAAGTGAGTTCTTGCTAATTGACCAGTTTTACATATTCGGCACGACATATATATATATATATATATATATATATATATATATATATATATATATATATATATATATAATATATATATATATATATATATATATATATGTCGTCCGAATAGGCAAATTGCGATACTTGCTTAAATAGCAACGCTCATCTTGCCATATAGGACGTAGTGAAAATTTGTGTATCCAATAATTTCGCCAAAATCATTCTGAATCTAACGAAAAAAATATTTTCACTGTGATTCTTTATATTTAAATTATGTAAACTTATCTAAAATATATTTAGTTGGTTAGCTAAAATAAATGTTCTTGTATTAAAAAGTTAAGGTAAGTTTTCTAAGATTCTTTTGCTGCAAAATTAAAATTTTACATTAAAAAATTAAAAAAATATATTTAAACGTATAGAGAATTTTTTAGAACACTTAATATTTAAATGAGTTCTTTGCTAATTGACAGTCTTACATATTCGGCACGACATATAAAATATATATATATATTAATATATATAATTAATAAATATATATATTATATAAACTATAAGAAATTTATTTAAAATCATTAATTTTAAATGAGTTCTTGCTAATTGACCAGTCCATTACATATTCGGCACGACTATATATATATATATATATAAATATATATTATTATATATATATTATATATATACTATATATATATATATATATATATAATATATATATATATATATGTAAAACTGGTCAATTAGCAAGAACTCATTTCAAATTAAGTCCTTTCTAAAATTTTCTCTTATACGTTTAAAGATATATTTTTTTCATTACCTGGAGTTTACCTGGAGATAGTTCGGGGGTCAACGCCCCCGTGGCCCGGTCTGTGACCAGACCTCCTGGTGGATGAGAGCCTGATCAACCAGGCTGTTACTGTTGGCTGCACGCAAACCAACGTACGAGCCACAGCCCGGCTGGTCAGGAACCGACTTTAGGTGCTTGTCCAGTGCCAGCTTGAAGACTGCCAGGGGTCTCTTGGTAATCCCCCTTATGTATGCTGGGAGGCAGTTGAACAGTCTCGGGCCCCTGACACTTATTGTATGGTCTCTTAACGTGCTAATGTAAAAATTTTTAATTTTGCTCCAAAAGAATCTTAGAAAACTTACCTAACCTTATAATAACAAAAACAATTTATTTTAGGCTAACCCAACTAAATATATTTTAGATTTGTTTACAATAATTTAAAACTAAACTAACAGAGTGAAATATATTTTTTTCGTTAGGTTCAGAATGATTTTGGCGACATTACTGCATACACAAATTTTTGCTTGTCTTATATGGCAAGATGAGCGTTGCTATTTAAGCCAAGATCGCAAGTTCTGCCTATTCGGCAGGACTATTAATATTATAATATATATATATATATAATAATAATTATATATATAATATATATATATATAATATATATATATATATATATATATATATTATATAATATATATATATACATACATATATATATATATATATATATATATATATATATATATATATATATATATATATAATATATATATATATATATATATATATATATAATATATATATATATATATATATATATATATATATATATATATATATATATATATATATATATATATATATATATATATATATATATAACATTCGCGTCTCCATTATCTATTCTTTATGGTCAAAATTAATTTTATATATTAACATTAATAAAAAATATATATTTTAAACGTTAAGAGATTAAGGGCGCTTCAATTTAACTGATTTTCCTGCAAAATTACCATTTTACCTTTATATCACACATTAATAAAAAATATATATTTATAAACTATAGATATAAATTAAAAGTTATATATTTATATATTCTCTAATACATACTATTACATAATAATATATATATATATATATATATAATATATATATATATAACTATAATATATATATATATATATATATTTATATATATATATATATATATATATATAAATATATATATATATATATAATATATATTATATATAGTTCTAAGTGGGAACTATATATTTCTGAGGTCCTTTCTTGCAGGATCTTTGTAAATTACTTGGGTTTGCAAAATTGCTGGCCTTGAAAGGGGCTGTTAGAGGTTACATAAGAAAAAAGGTAATTAACTACTGTTTATGAATGAGAAGTGCACTTCATGATAGCCTTCAGAAGACGGGGTGCTGACCAAGCTCAAATTTCAATTCACAGTTTCATTTTGGATGGTTCCACTGTACTCCTTACTCATATTTCTTACTTTCTCGCATGAGATAACTCTCATTTTATGGACAATGAGTGTTTGCCAATCTCATGCATTACTAGCATCAAACTGAATCTCTCTTCATCACACTTTAAGAAGTCAAGGATATCGGAAGCAATCAGGTTTCACATAAGGAAGGGGAAAGCAGCTCAGAAACTTTAAATAAAGCCTTTTCACCAGCATGAAAGCACCCTTTCCCCCTTCTCTTTTTAAGAAATCCCTAATATATGAAACCAGGTCATGTGACTTCAATGTGGAAATTTAACAAGCAACCTCATGACCAAGGTTTTGTCAAGTTTCCACATTTTTTCATGTATTTTCATTGGTCTTATGATGTAAATAGTGGCTTTGAATCTTATGTTTTAAAATTAATGAACACGCTTGCACATACCTATATTTAATTATTCAAGTGAATGAATTTCTATTTGTGTGCATGCGTTACTGTTTTTTTTTTTTTTTTTGCCAGGAATTTCGTATATATCATGTATGTCAAGAATGACGGTGAAAAGTTCTTGATTCAACAAAATTTAATTTACCCTTCCCTTTCTTGGATAAATCTTCATTAATTCTCATTTCCCGTGCAATGTTTGACCACCAGCGGGTAGTACTGCAGTAAGCCTATTGACACACTATGCTAGCCAATTCCACTACACAACTAGTCATGTACCTCTCCAACTAATTTTTAAAGGTATCCAGAGTTCTCTCTTCAATGCACTACTTGTTTGTAACAAAAATATTACTATTAATACGACTTTCAATCAAAAGTATACGAAAATTAGTACATCTGAATTCTAAAATATACATAATACAAAAATCTAGAAATGTAGTTATGCATATATTTCATATATTACAACCATTATCAGTGATTTCCTTCTCAGATGTTAATGATGAGCAGAGGACCACCAGCAACGGCTGAGGAGGACCTGTCACTTCTGGCCCATTTGTCCGGCCCAGTCAGCTACGATGACCCCGGTCTCCTTCATATAGTGACTCGCTCCTTCCTGCACCCGCCAGCCACCCTCCCTTATCGCCTTTTCAAACACCTGAAGCACAACATGGAAACATTCAGATATTATTTATACGAAAGAAATGGCTCTTTTAAGTTCTACGAAAGGGTCATGCATGATCTATTCGAGGGAGCACCTCCGGGATTCTTTGTGGAGGCAGGAGCATTGGACGGGGAGTTTCTCTCGAATACACTGTCTTTGGAAAAGGACAGTGGATGGACGGGGCTGCTAGTGGAAGCCAACAAGGAAATGTTTAACCAGTTGTTGCAAAAGCGAAGGCGGTCATGGGCAAGCCATACTTGCCTGGCCACCAAAGCTCACCCGCACCTCGCCATATTCGTCAAATTTCTACGAAATGCACAATTTGATTCTTACACCAGTTTTGCTGTGAGGTCTTATGGATCCCTGATGAGCGTGGCTGGAGGGGGTACCTTGGACATGACGGAGCCGGGCCATCGAATCTACGAGTCTGTGCAGTGCTTGCCTTTGGCTACGCTGCTCCTGGCGATAAATATCACCCACGTAGATATGGTGTCACTGGATGTTGAGGGCGCCGAGGAAGACATCTTGCGTCACTTTCCCTGGGATCGCATCACGGTAGACGTCTGGCTGGTAGAACACCAAATTCACACTCCTGCTGACTCTATATATTCTGCCCATAATTCCCCTTCGGGATCGCTACCTGAAGCCTCCAGAGGATTAGAAGCTACAAAAAATCACAAATTATCAACAACTTCTTCAAAACAAAAGAAAGTTGACGGAGAGTTTGTCAATATGTTCACCACACATGGTTATGTACTGTACGAAGTGAAAACTCCTCATATTCCCAACTATGTATTCATACTACAAGATTCTGATGTACACAAGAGACTCAAAGCAAAGGGTTGGGTAGCAAAGTCTCCGACTTAGGAACGCATTCATTATAATATAATTTTGGCTTCACCATGATTATAATCTCAATTACTTTTAACATTCCTAAAGCTTGATTGCTGGATTATCTAGTTATGTCCAAGTGAGAAAATGCAGGAAAACAAGGAAGAGGCACCACCTGGGCGACCAGTCTGGCATAGTGAAATATACAACTCTATATTCCTGCAGTGTTGCATCAGTATTGTTATACAGCTCTTGGTATAGCTCCATTTCCTCAGATAAAGAGCTTGTCATTAGTATCAAAGTTTGTATTACTTTAAGTACCGTAAAACTGAGGTAAAATATGTAAATAAAAACTTAGGAAAACTTAAAATAAATCTGTGTAAATTAAGATAATGACTAACACGGGAGCCAACATGAACGATAATTTTACAGATTTTTATATTAGCAATCTTAGATTAGACTTTCATCTAGAATTAATTTCAAATGAGATGATGTATGGCAGAGATGCTATATTAACATTCATTAAATTTACATAGACCTGAAAGAATTACAGCTTATTACTAACCAGCCTGATCTTAGATTTTGTGTTTTTAAAAGTTAGGAGATTTTTTTTATTAAATACCTCCATAATAAACACAGAATCAAAATACATATGTAAAATCCTTGCCATATCTGCTTCCTCATAAAATGTCACCGTTTAGAGGAACACTGATCAAATAAAGTGACAGGAAGAGAATTTTTTGATTTCGTCTACATATGTTGGTTTTGCAGTGAAAGTAGTCTTTGGAATTGGAGAAATTTCACTTGTAGACATAAATAAAATAAGTAATAAAAAGGGGGCTGTATATTTCGACGACTTTGATCTGCTGAAAACGGCCTCGGTTAGAGGCCAAAAATTACAGTCCCCATTTTATTACATGTTTTAGATATTTTGTTACGTTCCCTTTATATTAAATGTTTAAATTTTATTGCGCGTTTTATTCGTTTTATTGCACGTTTTATATATTTTATATTTTTGGGTTTGTTAATATATTCATTTGTTTCTCAACGGCAGGTGGCAAATTTCTTATAATTTATGTATGCAAATGAACTTTTTCTTACACCTGTTAGTTTTGTTTCGAAAAAAAGTCTTGCAATTTTGTAAAAAGTGGTCCTTACATTAATTTTTTTTCATGATATTTTTGTCTGTATAAAATTATTTTGTTAGGTAATTCTACGGACATTACTAAAATTATTTTGAAAATGTCTGAATTTTCCGCCAACCGGTAAATAATTCACTAACTTTTCATTTATAGTTTAAGCCATGGCTAGGAAATTTATTTTTGCATTATGAGCAGAATACTCAATCAGGTAACTCCTCACCGAGAGGAATAAATAAGCATTAATGCTTCCACGGTACAAGTGTTAAAGGAAATCAGAATACTGCGACCAGATGGGAATCGAACCCGAGATATTTAACCAGGATGGTTAAATATCTGGGGGTTCGATCCCTGGCTGGTCACAGTATTGTCATATCTCAGTATGTGTATTTATCTTGATTGGTGGTGAAAAGGTTGTACGCGCTTTTCATGACCATTTGTGTATTCGATAGGATTTACACCCTGTTAAAATATTAACCATCACCTGACTCCTCAATCATCTGACACCTCAGTCACCTGACTCTTTAATCAACTGACTCCTAAAGCACCTGACTAATCAATCTCCTGACAGCTCAGTTACCTGACACACTGCATTTTGCAAACAAGTTCGTGTAGAAAGCTCGTCCAAAATTGGTAGAAAGCTCCTCGTCCTACATTAAATTAACTAATTACTTTCAATTTTTCACTTGTCATTTGATCACGAACCTTGACATCCCTCTCAGCTCAGCACACGGGAATCATTCATAATATTGAAAATAATTGTTAAATGTGTAATTCTCTCTATAAGTGTCAATAGAGTAGCTTACTTATTTGTTTCCATACTTTTAATTTTGATTTTATGTATTTATGTATTATACTTATCGGTCCAACTTGGACCGAAACGTCTTTGTAAGTTTCTCTCTCCTATGTCCGTGATATTTATGCATTAATCGTTACACTGCCTACTTTATCCTGTACGTATGTTGCCTAATAATAAAAATGTTAATTATAAAATGCTTACTTGACGAAGGCTTATAAACTAGCTTCGTAGAATACTTAAATAATGATAATAATAATAATAATAATAATAACAATAATAATAATAACAATAATAATAATAATAATAAAAATTACAATAATTTTTATTTCTACAAGTGCATGTACAAGGTATGCAGGATAACTGACATCAGTGACATACTGCTATATAGAAAGCCCCTTGTTATGCAGATCAATTGGCGAAAATTAGGTCAATTTTGTCCCAAGATGCGACCCACACCAGTCGACTAACACCCAGGTACCTATTTTACTGATAGGTGAACAGGTACACGTCCTTATGTTTCCACCCGTACCTTCAATCGAACCAAGGACTTCAGTGCGTGAGTTGAATGTGTTAGTAATCGAGTTCCAGGACACAACAATGTAAATAAGGTAACTGTGTTTACTTTATTTCAAGGTTTTCCTTATTATCTTCGTAGCTTCCACGTCACATGATACGAGATAACTTCCTGTTACTGGAAGCCCATTTTAGAATATTTTCCTCCAGCATCGGGATAGTGTGAGAGGTTGTTAGGTAAGACACATATGCAACAGTTAGGTATCTTTATTTCGAAACGTTTCGCCTACACAGTAGGCTTCTTCAGTCGAGTACATAAAACTGATAGAAGCAGAAGATACTTGAGGACGATGTAATCAGTCCATCACCCTTAAAGTTTTGAGGTGGTCAGTCCCTCAGTCTGGAGAAGAGCATTGTTCCATGGTATGAAACAATATAGAGATGAAGTGACAGGATCGAGCGTTATATAGCGCCAAGAGGTGAGACGTAGGTCACTAGGAGAGGTAAGAACTCAGATGTTGGGAGGACAGGTCCCTCTCAAATCCAGCCGTTCTCACTAGTAGAGGTTGTCGAAAGTTGATTGTAGGTCTGTACCAAGATACCCTTGTGTTGCAGTGTCTGACACTGCAACACAAGGGTATCTTGGTACAGACCTACAATCAACTTTCGACAACCTCTGCTAGTGAGAACGGCTGGATTTGAGAGGGACCTGTCCTCCCAACATCTGAGTTCTTACCTCTCCTAGTGACCTACGTCTCACCTCTTGGCGCTATATAACGCTCGATCCTGTCACTTCATCTCTATATTGTTTCATACCATGGAACAATGCTCTTCTCCAGACTGAGGGACTGACCACCTCAAAACTTTAAGGGTGATGGACTGATTACATCGTCCTCAAGTATCTTCTGCTTCTATCAACTTTTATGTACTCGACTGAAGAAGCCTACTGTGTAGGCGAAACGTTTCGAAATAAAGATACCTAACTGTTGCATATGTGTCTTACCTAACAACCTGTCGGTATTTTATACCATTTTAATGTTCAATAGTGTGAGAGGTGTGAGCAATATGACGGTACACAAGACCCTAGCAAGAGCTCGCAATATTTGCCTCTCGTTCACAATATTTTTATTAGTGAGTTAATACTTTGTTTAATTATGTGATATGTACCGAAATACTATTATGCAGTGGCTATTATTTATTCTTACGAAACGATGTCATGAAAACCGGAGATTGGAAATAGTGTCGCCTTTGTTCGTTGGTTGGTTCGTTAAGTTTAGTGAGTGTCGACAGCACATGGACGATTAAGGCTACTTTCAGCCCGAACATAACCAATCATGAATATTTTTTTCTCTACAATGGAGGTCAGAGTAGACTTTCAGTATTATGTAGACTGAGTGGTATAAACCCAAAAGTAAGTGAGGGAGTAATATTAAGTTGAGATGTAATGCTGCGCATCTACAGTAAATAAGTTATTACTGCTTGTTGAGACACGTACACTGTGGCTGCCTAGTTGAAAGTGGTGGCACCGAAAGCACTATTTAAAAAAGATTATTGTGACTAATGACCTTAATATAGTTTAATAATTGCATTTAAATATTCACTAGCATATTCAATCAAATCAAATCAAGAGATGATGAAAATCAAAGACCTGCTTCAAGAGTAGAATGTCTCTCTCGAACAAGTTAGATGGAGGATGGAACTGCACTACTCCACGTGGCTCTTGTGCTACACATCATCATCATCATCATCATCATCATCATCATCATCATCATCATCATCATCATCATCATCATCATCATCATCATCATCATCATCATCATCATCATCATCATCATCATCATCATCATCATCATCATCATCATCATCATCATCATCATCATCATCATCATCATCATAATGAGTCCCACCTTAACGGAATACAAATGAACAGTATAAAATTTATAACTAATCATCTGTTTCACAATGGTATATGGCAGATTTCCAGGATTTTATCTGTCAACAAGCATTCTACAAGTTTATTTTTGCTTGGTTTCACAACGAATTAATTTCGTCCTAATGTATTAAAAATCTTATCTCTGCCGTCATACCTTGTAATTTTTAAAGCGGTATTTTTCTCAGCTAATTCTCGTTTTGTTGGTGTTTATATTAAAAATTATTTCGAAAATACTAGCTTGACTCAATTCACAACGAACTAATAAATAATTTACTAATTTTTCATTCATAGTTGAAGTCATCAGGAGTGAAACAATCAGCTGACTTCTCACCGAGAGGTATATATCTCTCAGGGTATACACAGTGAGTTTAATACCTATTTGAGGCTCTGAACCCAATTAAAAACCAAATCATCAGCTAACTCCTCAATCACCTGACCTATTGAACTTTCTAACAGGTTCGTGTACACTGTTTATTCAAAATTGATAGTTCATCGTCCCAAATTTAATTCACTGATCACAATTACTTCTTCATTCGTCATTTCGTCTGATCATGAACCTTGACGTCACTTACAGCTAAGTGCGATTCCTTTAAAATATTTTAAATATTCGTCTGAAGTATTTTCTTCTACTTTAGTGTACGTGAAGATTTCTAAATTAGTGTTGTAGCTTTTATTTTTGGCTTTATATTTTGCTTTCATTAATAATAAAATATCAATGAAACAATTGCTAAAGAAGGCTTATAAACTAGCAGAGATAGGTAACTGCTTTTAGCTTGCAAATGGATGCTGGAGTTCTTACCCATAGCCAAACTAAGGGACTGGAAAGCCAGGCAGCTGCTGCCCGGGACACTGTAAAAGAGCGGCCAAAACATGAGATACATAAACAAGAACTATTAAATACTCTATTAAAATTGCTTTCTAAATAAGTTAAAATGTTATATCATTTTAAGTACATGAAAACAAATTAACAAGTATATAATTTATATTCAGTAGCCCTAAAAGAAAAATCAGCTTTACATGTCTCCACTATAGAAATTTGTAATAGCGTCAAAATACAAGCCTGGCTGCCAAAATTTCTCGGTAGCCCAGTGGTTAAATACAGAACACCTAAAACAATAAATAAGCCAAACTGAATATCTTCATCATCTCAGTATCTTCCATGTCACATGATTCACGTCAAAACATTCCAGTACTTAGAAGCTAATATAGCTCTAAATACATCTAGCCATAATACAGCTTTAAAGGTCCTCTCCTCATCAGAAGGAATTAGAGGTGAGAGCAGTTTGAAAGCACCCAAGAACTTAGCAAGCATTCGCAAAGTTTACCTCTCGCACACATTTCTATGAATGAGTTTATGTGTTTAATTATTCTTTATTTGTCCATATGCAGTTATGTTAAAGTTATTGTTTGTACTTACGAAATGACGTCTTGAAAACCGAGGTTGCTTATGTTAAAAGCTGTTGACACTACGTGCATGACTAAAGTTATGCTCTACCTGATATAATCAAGCAAGAATACTATATTTTCCACAGTTGGGGTTAAAGTATGCGCCGAGTGACGTTGATCTGATGATATAAATGTGCTTGTCTCCATGGCGGATGTAAGACAGTTTACAATGTAGACACTATCCTTCAGACAGCTTGGTGGTGACCCACTTCTCTATCTTTTGAGAGGTATTGTATGATATTCCAAAAATTGTTTTATTAAAATTAGAAAAAAGAACTTTGCAAAGCCCATAAGAAATAAAGTCTTCCTTTAAGAAAGATGTACAAAAGTTACACACTTTAAAGTCGACCAGAAGAGGCAATCTTGAGTAATGAGAGGGAATCAAAGAAGTCCATGTATAAAAATTTATAGTAACCTGACAACGTTGCACCAACACAACTCAGTATCAACTGGAACCACCGCGAAGTAAGATACACCAGCGTTTAAGATTTGAAGCCGACCAGAAAAGGCATTTTCTAGTTATTATGTAGAAATCAATGTTGTATTTTGTCTAATAAATTGGACAATAACAGTGCAAACCTCATGGTGAGCAAAACGAAATAGCATTAAAAGATTTAAATCAATCAGAAGAGGCGTCCTCCAGTTTGAGGAAGGAGTCCAACGATTGCAAGTTTTTTCTTTTTGTTTATATATCAGTAAATTTAACCTACACAGTTTGCGCACTCCAGTAACAACCATAAACGTTTTCCTAAGTAGGATAAATCATTGATGAAAGTTTGAAGCCTTTCAAGAGTGGCATTCGAAGGTGTAAACGAAAACCATAAATTAAGTAAAAGAAAAATTATTAGGCAACCACTTACAGATTTTCTTTTCGGAACTAAATAATTGGATCCTCGATTTAAAGTGAAAATGTATTTAAAGTAAATATTATAGCTATATATATGTGCTTCGTATATGACAGGAACCGTAAGTAATGATTTCTTCCACAGATGATGATTGTGGTGAGAGGACCACCAGCAACTGTTGAAGAAGAGCTAATGCTCGCGGCCCGTTTGTCCGGGCCCCTCAGCTATGATGATCCTGATCTCCTTCATGTGGTGACTCACTTCTTCCTACACCCGCCCTCCACCCTCCCTTATCACCTTGTGAGAGATCAACAGTACAGTGCTGAAAAAGTAACATATTCTTCATACGAAAATGAATTCGCTTTTACGTTCTACAAAAACGTCATGAATGACCTGTTCGAGGGTGCTCCCCCCGGGTTCTTCGTGGAGGCAGGAGCTTTGGATGGGGAGTTTCTCTCCAATACATTGTCTCTGGAGACGAACAGTGGTTGGACAGGGCTTTTGGTGGAGACCGATGGAGATATGTTTAACCAGTTGTTGCGGAAGCGAAGGCAGTCATGGGCATGTCATACTTGCCTGGCCACCCAGGCTCACCCACACCTCGCCATACTTGTCAAATACCTACATAATTCACATTTTAATACTTTTACGAGCCATTCTGCGAGGGCTCGTGGATCACTGATGAGTGTGGCTGGAGGGGCCAATTTTGACATGTCGGAGCAGAGCCATCGAGCCTACGAGTCTGTACAGTGCTTGCCTTTAGCTACGCTGCTCTTGGCGATGAACATCACCCACGTAGATATGGTGTCACTGGATGTTGAGGGCGCCGAGGAGGACATATTACGTCACTTTCCCTGGGATCGCATCACGGTAGACGTCTGGCTGGTAGAACACCAAATTCACACCCCTTCCGACTCCATATACTCTGCGCAAGTCTCTTTTTCCGGATCGTCTCCTGATGCCCCAAGAAGATTAGAAGCTACAAATAATCACAAATTTTCAACAGCTTCTTCGAAACAAGAGAAAGTTGACGGAGAGTTTGTCAGTATGTTCATTATACACGGCTATGAACTGTACAAAGTGAAAACAGATCCCATTCCGGATTACGTATTCATACGAAAGGATTCTAAAGTTGATAAGAGACTTAAAGCAAGAGGCTTGAGTAGCAAAATCGCTGATATAGGATCACATTCATTATAACAACACTGTAACTTGGAGATTAACCTTAATATTTTATTCATAGTTATGATTATAATAAACTCAGTGACTCTAAATATTCAAGTGAGAAACTTCAAGAAACTTTGGCAGGTACATCACCCTGGAATGCACTTGTGCCTTCATGCAAAGTGAAATTTGTAATTGCATGGTAATTTATGAAGCCTCGCACCAGCACGGCTATGCAACACCTGCAATAACCGGCTTTCGTTAGGATAATGTTCTGAATAAATTTTAGGTAAATGTTAATAGAGTAAATATATTTTAATGGAAACAGATAAATCTGTAAAAATTTAGAGAAGACTTAGAGTTGCTTTTATGTTGTTGATATTATCCATCACGAGAACAAACATGGACAACAGGTCCACCAACTTCATAATATTACACTGAAATTAGACTTACTCCTAGAATTAATTTGAAATGAGGTGATAGTTGGCATAGATTCCTTAATAACTTTCCTTAATATCATACTAAAAATGAATATTGATCTATCCTATCCTTAAACAACGAAAAGACTCCTCATAACTAACTAATTCCGATTTGAGACTTTAATAACTCAAAGTTAGGGTGTTGGCTCATAAACAAAAATCTCTACATTAAATATAGAAAAAAATTTACTTGAAAAAATCCCAGTTTCATTTCCTTCCCGGTAAGTTATGACGCCGTTTGGTGACAGAGATGTTTTTCTTTTTATGCAAAGTTGGTATCGCAACGAAAGTAGTTAGTGTAAACTTGCTGGAAAATAAGAGCCTCAGTCAGAAGCCGAAAAAGTACACACAACCCCTCTTTATTAAATGTTTTTTTTATTTAAAATGTAACCATAAAAATTAAGAATTCACTTTGTTATTTTTTTTTACCAAATTATGATTCAGTTATGATTACCTACATAAATGAGTTTTTTTTTTGTTCTTCATAACAAAATGCATTGATATTTATTGTAAAATATATTGTAATTTTGTTTTAATATTCAAGGTTCGATATAATTCAGGTTTTGTTTCACACTGTTGCATCATTTAGTTCCATTAGATGTAACTGATTATCTGTTTCACAGTGGCACATGACAGATTTCCAGCAATTCAATTATGTCAATAAATTGTTCACTAAGTTTTTCTTTTTCCTATTTTAATTTTTTTCATTTATTACAAGCTATGAAAACTCTCGTCACATATCGGCGCATTTTTTTTCATTTTCATTTAAGAAAAAGTGGTATTTTTTTTCTGTTAATGTTCCATTTGTTGATATTTGTACTAAAAATTGTTTGATAACGCTACCTGGACCGACAGTTAGGTATCTATACTGTTGAAACGTTTCGCCTACACAGTAGGCTTCTTCAGCCAAATACAGAGACAGCAGGTATAGTAGGATGTTTACATCCTGAGTGGACAACTCAGACAGCCGACCCTTCACTTAGAGGTGCATATCTCACTGTACATACCCTGAGAGTTTATTTTAATCATTGTTTTGGGAATTGAAATATCCTTGAATAGTGGTGAACATATTATAATGTAGCCTTAATGACCCCTGTGTGTAGCCGACAGACTTAAAACGCAACTAGCCATTCATCCATCAACTTACTCCTCGATCAGCTGATTTCTCAATCAGTTGACTGCTTAATCGCATGACCTTTTCAGCCACCCGACACATTACACTGTCTAACCGGTTCGTATACAAAGTTCGTCCAAAATAAGTAGACAGCTCCACGACCTAAATTAAATTCAGTGAATGCAATCACTTCTTCACTCCTCATTTCAAGCAGTTGATCATAAACCTTGATATCACTTTCAGCTAACCACACGGGAATCCTTTATAAAATGTAAAATAAACACCAAATGTGTTTTTCTCTATTTTAGCATACATGGGATCTATTTTTCAACTTTATCCTGTAGGCATGCTGCATAAAAATAAAATATTATTGACACAATAATTACTGGACGATGGCTTATAAACTAGCAGAGATTAAGTAGGTAACAGCATTTTGCTTGAAAATAAATGCAGGTAATCTTATCTTAGCCTCCTAGAATCCTTAAATGAAAATATGGTAAATTTATTTGCATTATTTCAATGTTTCCCTTATTATCATCGCAGCTTCCTCATCACATGATACGGGACGTAACTTCCTGGGACTGGGAAGCCAATGTAGATTATTTTTCTTTCTCCAGCATCAGCATACTTTGAGAGGTGCAAGCAATATGAAGGTACACAAGACCCTAGCAAGAGTATGCAAAGTTTATCACTTGCCAATGATATTGACATCAGTGAGGTTTATACTGGGTTTAATTCTGCTATATGTACGTATATGCAATTATGCAATCGTTATTATTTATTTTTACGGAATGACGTCTTAAAAACCAGAGCTGATTAGCCATCCATCTCATCCTACAAGGCTGGAAAGCGTCGACTTTGTTCGTTGGTGGTTTGCTAAATTTAATGTCTATTGAGAACATGTGGATGATTAATTAAGTCCGTATTCCATGTGAACATAACTAATGAAAAATATTTTGCTCTCTGTAATACGAGTTGAAGTAAACTCTCTAAGTGCACTGAGGAATATACACTTTAAAGTCAGGGTTGGCTTAAGAGCAAGCTGAGTTCTCAGGCAACGTATATACTACTAATAAAGTTAGAAATGTTTGCACTATTTAAAAAGATTCTTGTGACTAATGACCTTAATTCGAGAGCATCTTTGTCTCCAGCAACTAGGATGGAAGATGGAACTGCACTACTCCAAAGCATGAACAGATATAACTATAACCATAATATTTAAAGGGATTGACCGGGAAGCCAGGGAAAGGCCTCGGTCAGATGACAAAAGCTCCAATGCAGGTCATCATCTGACTAAGACCCGCGTCAGGAGACACTTGTCTTGTTTCTTGACGAACCTTACCTGACCTAACCTAACTACTCCACGATCTGAGTGATTAACAAGACTCATATTGTTCACACTACTACTGCTACCACTACTACTACTACTAATAATAATAATATTAATAATAATAATAATAATAATAATAATAATAATAATAATAATAATAATAATAATAATAATAATAATAATAGTAATAATAATATTAATAATAATAATAATAAAATAATAATAATAATAATAATAATAATAATAATAATAATAAATAATAATAATAATAATAATAATAATAAAAATAATAATAATAATGATAATCTGAGTACCGCCGTAACGGAATACAAATGGACCTGATAATGCATTTATAAATATGTTTGTCTTTTACATTTTACTGTATAGTGATGACTTCCTCAACAGATATGATGGTGGTGAGAGGACCAACATGCAACACTTGAAGAAGAGCTAATGCTCGCGGCCCGTTTGTCCGGGCCCCTCAGCTATGATGATCCCAATCTCCTTCATATGGGACTCGCTCCTTCATACACCCGCCCTCCACCCTCCCTTATCACCTTGTGAGAGACCAGAAGCACAACATTAAAACAGTACAATATAATTTATACGAAGGTGACGGTTCCTATATATTCTACAAAAATGTTGTTCACGATCTATTCAAGGGAGCTCCCCCCGGATTCTTCGTGGAGGCTGGAGCTTTGGATGGGGAGTTTCTCTCTAACACTCTGTCTCTGGAGAAGGAGAGTGGATGGACGGGATTGCTAGTGGAGACCGATGGAGACATGTTCAAACAATTGTTGCAGAAACGACGTCGGTCATGGGCAAGCCACACCTGCCTGGCTACCCAAGCTCACCCACACCTCGCCACACTCGTCAAATATCTCCATCAAGCGCAGTTTGATCCTTTCACGAATTTCGCAGCGAGGGCTCGTTCATTATTAATAAATGTGTCTCCAGGGACCGCCCTAGAGATGTCAGAGGTGGGGTATCGAATCTACGAGTCCGTGCAGTGTTTGCCTCTGGCTACGCTGCTCCTGGCGATCAACGTCACCCACGTAGACATGGTATCTCTTGACGTAGAGGGCGCTGAAGTGGATATCTTGCGCTACTTTCCGTGGGATCGTTTTACAATAGACGTTTGGCTGGTAGAACACGAAATTCGCACTCCTAATTCTATCAGCTCAGCCATACTTTCCTCACTAATGTCACCACTTGCTACCCAAAAAGCATCAAAATCCTTAATCAGTAAGGAAATATCACCTCACTCATCGGAACGAGAGAGAATAGATGAAGAGTTTGTCAACATGTTCATCGAACAAGGCTATGAACTATACACCGTGAACACTAATTTCATTCCCAACTATGTTTTCATTCTGAAAGGATCAAGTGTACATAAAAGACTCAAGAAGGGTGGGAAGCAGCATCCCTGATTTCAATGATACGATAATAACCACTAAATCAGAGGGGATCATTCAGTGCAAGGAATGGCGGAGACTAGATCACCTATCCATTAAGAGCAGCTCGGTCGCGTTCGTCAGTCAGGTTACAAACCCGGAAATTAAAAAACCATTAATTTAATACTGACAGTTAAGAGGTAATATAGATATCGAGCTCAGAAGAATTAGATGCTGAATCCAACACATAATTATAATTGCGTGAATAAGTAAAAAAAATATTGGAATCGGAGATTTCTCTTCTTATTTGATTGGGAAAGGTCGTAAATGGTGCCAATAATCTGCTTTTTGCTCAACAGGTGCAGTGTAACCTGATCCACGTTTCTCCCGCACTCTGTGCTGAATGGTTCACATGTGTTTAGAGCTTCACGAACAAAAGTACGATACAGTTGTGTCCATTTAAAAAGACAGGTTAGCAAACGTGAGAAAGACTTTCGGTCCTGGACCCCTCGGACACCTCAGGGTCCTAGGACCGAAACTTTTTCTAATAAATTTATCCCGGTGTTTACTTTCGTGTATTTTTAAGCCACGTGTCAGCATCCATTACCGAGGTCTATACCAGGTTGTCCATGGAATCTGAAATCCACTTTTTAGTAGTAGGATATTAGATTTTAGTATTTTGTAAATATATATTTATTATATATAATATATATATATATATATATATATATATATATATATATATATATATATATATATATATATATATATATATATATATATATATATATATATTATATATATATATATATATATATATATTAATCTAATATAATATATATATATATCATATATATGTCGTGCGAAAGGGGAACTCGATCTTGGCCATAAATAGCAGCGCTATTTCCCATATAGGACAAGCGAAAATTTGTGTATGCAATAATATCGCCAAAATCATTCTGAACCTAACGAAAAAAAATATGTTTCACTGTGCTTGCTTAGTATTAAATTATTGTAAACAAATCTAAAATATATTTAGTTGGGTTAGGCTAAAATAAAATATTCTTGTTATAATAAGGTTAGGTAAGTTTTCTAAGATTCTTTTGTAGCAAAATTAAAATTGTTTACATTAACATTAATGAAAAAAATATATCTTTAAACGTATAAGAATTTTTTTTAGAAAGGACCTAATTTAAAATGAGTTCTTGCTAATTGACCAGTTTTACATATTCGGCACGACATATATATATATATATATATATATATATATATATTATATATATATATATATATATATATTATATATATATATATATATATATATATATATATACATATACATGTCGTGCCGAATAGGCAGAACTTGCTATCTTGGTTTTTATAGCAACGTTCATCTTGCCATATAGGACAAGTGAAAATTTGTGTATGCAATAATTTCGCCAAAATCATTCTGAACCTAACGAAAAAAATATATTTCACTGAGTTCGTTTAGTATTAAATTACTGTAAACAAATCTTAAATATATTTAGTTGGGTTAGGCTAAAATAATTTGCTCTTGTTATAGTAAGGTTAGGTAAGTTTTCTAAGATTCTTTTGGTGCAAATTTAAAAAGTTTTACATTATCATTAATAAAAACAATATATCTTTAAACGTATAAAAGAAAATTTAAGAAAGGACTTAATTTTAAATGAGTTCTTGCTAATTGACCAGTTTTACATATTCGGCACTACAATATATATAATATATATATATATATATATATATATATATATATATATATATATTATATATTTATATATATATATATATATATATATATATATATATATGTACCCCGAAATAAAATGTAGGTGTCAGAACTTGGACATTTGTTTGTGTCGACATGTAATATTGTAAAGTTGCTACCTTGAACACTTTGAATAAAAATAACTTTTTCCACAATCATATTTTTTCAGTCGCCATATCATTGTATACTCGTCATGTTTGTGTCATATTTCATCTTTAAGTATATGTCATATTTTCTATTAATTTTTGTGTACTTCAGAGCAGCTTGGGAATACATCATTTGCAATGACCCTTGCAAAATTTGGTGCGTTTTCCTACGGTCGTAAAAGACCCATAGAATCTAAATCACTGAAGTCCTATGGGTGGATTTGAGCATTTGCAAATATTTGTGTATGTGTGTGTGTTCGACACAGAAGTTTTACCTTACATTGTTATTGACTTTAACGTAGAATAGCCTTATGGAAATGTCTCGTAATAAAGCTATTTATTAAAATTCTTAAAATTTATTTCTGGTCCGAATGAGTGTGGTGAGTCTGGCAGTAAGGGAAGGGGGCGTGTCATAGCGGGCATGGATGGGGTGAGAAGTGCCACACACACACACTAGTGCCCCAGTCAGTGCCACTGGTGCAGGAGACGGTAGAGTGCTTCCCATCTACCGCTCCCCTCCTGACTAGCAAGTGAGCAGTGCTGTGATGTGTGCTAAACTACGACGAATTGCAAGGAAAAAGAAACACATTTGTAGAGCACGTTTTTTGTGACAACGTTTCGCCCTGTGTAGAAATGCTGTCAAAATAAAAGCTTGCTCTTCACCTGTGTACTTTCTTATGTTTTACTGTCGGCAGAACGCCTTTGTATTAAGCACTGGTAGTGGCGAAAATTGCGCATTTGGAATGTGTCGTTCTCCCTCGTTATTGAAGGTCCTCTACCTTGATAGCTGCATAGATATTGTAGGATTTGTACCAGCTAAACAGATACGTTGCAACGTAATAATAAACTAGCTGAGAAGGTAAGTCAGTGATTGGGGGTAAACAAGCTGAGAAGGCGTCTGAAATGTGGGTAACGCCAGCTGAGAAAATAAGCCTGTGACTGGATCAGAGGTAATACCAACTGAGAATGTAAATCAGTGACCGAGAGTGTAAATCACTGACTGAAGTAACATCATCTGACAAGGCAAGTCTGAATAAGCAAGTCAGTTGAGCAGGTAAATCACAGTACAAAAGACTGACAAGATGATGGTCGAGGCAAAATGTGTATTTGAGAAGCTGGATAACTTTCTTCAAGAAGTTTGCCTGACTACCTAGACTCAGAGGAAAGACTCAATAATTCATGGCTAGATTCTTGTAATTTTAGATCTGATCGTCCTGTCATTATTGTTGTGCTTGAGAAAAGTTTACCTCCACGTAAAAGTTCAAAGAAACAAAAATATTATTGTTAAAATATAAGGAAAACAAGTATTTTTAGTCAGGCTTGATAAATAAAGTAATATTATAAAGCTTGTTGCTTGAAAAAGTTCTAGGTTATTAGTGGTTATTCAATTCTATTTCGACAGTGTACGGTAGACAATAGTGACTAGAAGACACACTTCAGAAGAACAAGCTTGACTTGGACAACATATCGCTTTGTGTAGAGTTTTATCAAGTAATGAAAAAGCTCTACACAGAGCGAAACGTTGCTCAAGTTAAAGCTTGCTCATCACTGAGTATCTTGTCGTTTTTATTGTCAGCAGTACGAAAAATGGATTCAACCACTGGCTCCCCAAGTCTGGTCAGAATTATCATAACTTAAGTATATTTCTTGTATAATACTGTGATACTTTCTGGCCTTGAAACCCACTCAGATACACCCAGAAAACATGTGCACTTCACTACAAATAAATGTCGTGCCAAATTCCTAATGTTTAGACATTTAATAGCAAAATGTAGTGTTGACATTTTTATTGTGGCGGGCGGCGCCGGTGCCACTCCCACGCGACAATGTGTTCGAGTCACTCCAGACTAATTCTTACTTGGGGAAGCTCTTCAAGAATGTGTTAATGTTGTTGTTTATGCCCTACAAGCACCAGCATCTGAAGGCACAGATGGTGTTCTGCGAGTTTCTTTCAAATTTACAGAATCTCAGAAACCATCTCTTGGTTTTAAACTCGCACGCAGAGTTCCTTTGAAATTTGGCTGGAACTTCTATGTGTTCTAATTCAGATATTTCAGAAATCACATCAAGAGTGCAAAAAGATTTTTCTTATTGTCTGATTTTCAAGGTCGGTATCTCCTCTCGACCAGACTTAAGAGAGAGACGCATGCATAGTGTTTTTTTTTTTTCCTTTTTCTTTTAACCAGTGAGCAGTGAACATTTATATCAGTGAGCGTTCGGACCGTCATATGTGTCTGCTTTAAAGTTCCTCATTTCTAGTTAATCTTCGAATCCTTAGGTATTTTGGGGGATTTATTAGGATAAATAGTTTTTTTCTTGATTTCGGTGAAGAGAGAGAGAGAGAGAGAGAGAGAGAGAGAGAGAGAGAGAGAGAGAGAGAGAGAGAGAGAGAGAGAGAGAGAGAGAGAGAGAGACAGACAGAGAGACAGACAGACAGACAGACAGACAGAGACAGAGACAAACCGATAGAGACATAGACAGAGAGAGAGAGAGAGAGAGAGGCATATACATAGGCAGATACAGAAACAGCAGTAACAAGAAAATCAGTAACAACAGCAACAATACCATCATAATCAAGATCATTATTATTAATATTATTTATTTATGCTTGCTTCTCTCTCTCTCTCTCTCTCCTCCTCTCTCTTCTTATAATATATATATATATATATTATATAATATATATATATTATATATATATATATATATATAATATATATATATATATATATATATATATATATATATATATATATATATATAATATATATATATATATATATATATATATTATATATATATATTATATATATATATATATATATATATATATATATATATATATATATATATATATATATATATTATATATAATATATATATATATATATATATATAATATATATATATATATATATAATAATATATATATATATATAATATTATATATATATATATATATATATATATATATATATATATATATATATATATATATATATATACAGAGAGAGAGAGAGAAAGAGAGAGAGAAGCAAGCAAAAATAAATAATATTAATAATAATGATCTTGATTATGATGGTATTGTTGCTTGACAGATATTGCAATGAGCTGAGAAAAGGGGTGAAGCAGTGAAAAGGAAAGAGGTAGGGCAGGAGTGAATAATGGGTGGGGCCTGAAGATGGAATGGGGATGGAGCTGGGGAAGAAAACGGGTAGGGCTGAGGGAGTTCTTAAGAGTAAGTGATGGAAGGGAATAGGAAGGGTAGGTGGTAGGTGGCTGGTGTTATGGTGTGGGGGGAGGGTATATTGTTCACAATTACCAGGGTGGGATGACCAAGGTCGACGGCAGCCTCCCTGGCCAGCTGTTACAACTGCTTCTGTTCCTGTTTCTTCTGCTGATGCTGCTGCTGCTACTTCTGGTGTTGTTACTAGTGGATGTGGTAGTAGTGGTAGTGGTAGTGTTTATACTGATGGTGCTGTTGCTATTAGAGCACGTGGCAGTGGCGGTGGTGATGGTGGTGAGTCTAGTAGTGGTGGTAGTTTTAATGATGTTTATGGTGGTGGTGGCATTATTAGTGTTGCTTGTGTTGGTGGTGGTTGTGATTGTGGTGGGGTAGTTGTGGTTGTGGTTGTGGTGTTGGTGGTGGTGGTGCTTCCATCTCCCGACACGCACCTACCTATTAAATTTAATGCTCCGAGTGCTGAGTTTACTGGGTAGCACCTCTGATCCTGTGAGTGAATATGCCTAATATAGGTCAGATACCGACAAATATATAATTGAGACACATATACAGTACTAAAACGTTTATATAGAAACGTATCGCTCATCAGAACGTTTTTCAATCTAATTGACAAGGTTCCCAGTGAACAAATTCTCTTTTCCATAATTTATGTCCTATGTTGCACGTGCGTTTAATTTATGTACTCACCTAATTGTGGTTGCAGGGGTCAAGTCATAGCTCCTGGCCCCGCCTCTTCACTGGTCACTACTAGTTTATGTCTTATACTTGAGTTGCACGTTTGTCTAATTTATGTTCTATGCTAGTGTTGCACTTGCGTCTAATTTAAAAACCACAGTAGAATTGATAAGACTTTGACGGTATCAATATCAACTTCATTTTGGGATGTTTCAACATACAAGTACCATTATTTTTTGCAGTGGTGATAAGACAGCACCGGAGGAACTTACCCCACATATAGATTTATATCTCTTACATTTAACTCTATTTTCAATTCAATAAATAAATAATAAGAAATAAATAATATCAAATAAGTGGAAACTCAGATTAAATGAATAAGAATATCAACGTACAAGAGACATTAATTTGTTAATATAACCGTAAAACACAGGTTATAGACACCCAAAGAACTGGCTCAAAGTTAACTTTAATCCCGATTAATGGGATGAAATATTTTTTGACTGGCCGCATTAATTAACACTAGTGCAGTCTATAGCTTTGAAATCCACATAACCAATCAACTATAAGGCAGTTTGTATATATTCCGATCAGTATAATAGTCTTGAATGCGCTGAGAGGAAGGGCGACTAAACATTTAGAGGGGCGTATATCTCCATATGTTTACACTAAGAGTTTATTTCAATCCCTGCATAAGAGATTAGAATATCCTTGACAGACTACATGCATTCTTAACCATAGAACAGTCAGTAGGCTTCAAACCCGATTAATCAGCTGAGGAACGTCGACATGATATCTCAATGTATATTTTAGGGATTATAATTGAGAGGATTGATAGAGAAACACAAGGTCATTTAATTTGCCCCAAAAAAAAAAACGAAAATATTCTGTTCCTAAACAGCACTTCAAAGAAATTAAATGGAATAGATTATTACAATAGACAGAAAATTCTCTGCCTTTACACGTGCTTGTGCCTCCTCATTTTCACTTCTCTCCTATATGAATGCCTTCCTCATATACTTTGAAAATAATCTTTATTGAATGCTTCCTGCCAGTGTGCCACCTGCATTCTTTTATTTATTTGATGATTTTTGTTTTTTCTTTTCTTTTTATATCCCATCACTTCCTGTCCTGGAGCGCCACAAGTCTCCTCTCAGTAAATCCCTTGAAAATGTCGGGTCAGTGTGTTGTTTTCCCATATCCAGGAGCACAAGTCTCGTGTTCCAGTTGTGTCATCTCTTCCTGCCATGCGCACCGGCCCATGAGAGTTTTTAGAATGTTTAACAATTCTCGAACAAGCAAAATTATTTACAGACATTATCTCAGACCAGAGTAAGACCCGAGTCTGCCTACCTGGGCGCTCATACTGATGTGGGGTCTGGCTGTATGGTACAGCGCCGTGGAACTATGTATTTTGATGCAGAGTGCGTAGGTTCGAGTCCTACTCTGACCTGAGACAATGTTTGTGTGTGTGTGTGTAGAGCTCCTCACGGACACACCTACCTGGGATCTTCTCTACTCCTCTGTACTATTGAAAGCTGTTGAAATAGTGTTACCTTCAACACGAAAAGCCTAGAGCTATCATTCCCCCTGTGGTTGTTTTGTGCATACATACTATTTAGGATTTGTGAAAAATTAGATTTCAACTTAAAATATTGATTACTTTGCATAGTTATCAACTATTTGGTAAAATTTCAATCCGGAAATAAGCAAACAGTGTCAAATCTAAAGCAAAGATTGAAAATACTGTTTAAATTAACAAAAGTTTAGAACAGACTCTAAAATCAAAATAAGTATCACCTAAAAAGTGAAATCAAACTTAAAGTTTGTGAAAAAACATGCCTATTTTTTAATGAGTTGAGGTGAAACAGCTGTTAGTTTGTAACGTGAACTGAACGACGTGTTGAGTAAGATGGTACATGGTGGCAGGATGAGCACTCGGCGACAGCTGTCGTGGAGAGCGAGACAGGGCGGTCAGCGGCTGCGGGAGGGTGGAAGGATGGCTGCTCTAACCTGCTGGGCAGACTTTGTCACCCCACGACTCGTGCCTCTCAAGATCACCTTCTTCATCATCATGGGAGGTGAGTCTTATTGTATGTTATCATTATTATTAATAAATTATTATTAATAAATTATTATTTTTCTTTTCAACAAGTTGGTCGTCTCCCACCGAGGCAGGGTGACCCAAAAAAGAAAGAAAATCCCCAAAACGAAAATGCTTTCATCATCATTCAACACTTTCACCACACTCACACATAATCACTGTTTTTGCAGAGGTGCTCAGAATATAACAGTTTAGAAGCATATACGTATAAAGATACAGTATTATTATTACACAGTATTATTATTATACAGTATTATTATTATTATTAAATTATTATTACATTATTATTTTTTTATTATTATTATTATTACTCAATTATTATTACATTATTATTATCATTACAGTCATTATTATCATATTAATAATATTAATTACGGTTCCGAGAACGGCTCGCTCCATGATACGTTACTGAACCATCAAAATCAACCTGTCACAGGACCTTAACCACTGTTTCTCCCCACAGCGACCCAGTGCGTGGCTCCCTTCACCACCCTACTCCTGAGGGCCTTGGGACTGACAGTACAGGAGACTGGCTTTGTCTACACTATCGGGCCCATTATCCCCGTGTTTGCACCCCTTCTCGCCGGCATTATAGCTGACAAGATCGGTAACTTCAGAGTGAGTCTGGCTACATACTTAAATAATAAATTGTCTTGTGAACCGAAGTAATACGCGTATTCCATACTAAATTTAAGATAATTTAAGGTGTTATTTACTTGTGGGTCTTTCATTGCAAGAGGAAGGGATGGCTCGAACCTCTGGCCACTAATCGAGGTCTGGTTCTTGACCAATAAATCTATTGATGATAACCAAAGGTAAACAGGAACATGAAATTACACTCTGATTGGGATAAAAGCGGTAAAGATAGTATACTATATATATACTTTTCACAAATGGTCAGGAAGATAGCCAAAATAAGAAATAGTGTGTGCTAGAGCTACTAGGAAACGCTAACATGTTAATGTTAACTTGTTGAGATTAAAAAATGGGACACAACAATAGAATTACTCTCGTAACTAACTACACACACACACACACACACACACACACACACACAACACACACCACACACACACACCACACACACACACACACACACACACACACGGAAATCAACCTGACGACACTGGAGGACAGGAGAGATAGGGGGGACATGATAACGACATACAAAATACTGAAGGAATTGACAAGGTGGACAAAGACAGGATGTTCCAGAGATTGGACACAGTAACAAGGGGACACAGTTGGAAGTTGAAGACACAGATGAATCACAGGGATGTTAGGAAGTATTTCTTCAGCCACAGAGTAGTCAGTAAGTGGAATAGTTTGGGAAGCGATGTAGTGGAGGCAGGATCCATACATAGCTTTAAGCAGAGGTATGATAAAGCTCACGGCTCAGGGAGAGTGACCTAGTAGCGATCAGTGAAGAGGCGGGGCCAGGAGCTCGGACTCGACCCCCGCAACCTCAACTAGGTGAGTACAACCAGGTGAGTCACCACACACACACACACACACACACACACACACACACTCACACAAGGGCATGTAGCTTGACTCGACCTGCAACCTCACTAGGCGAGTAACACACAACAACACACACACGACACAACAGGAGCAGGACTTGGACTGACCTGAACCTCATAGCGATACCCAACAATCAACCACACACACCACACACACAAACCCCACAACACAAAACACCACCACCCATCGTTCTTTGACTTCGTTCAGTCATGTAAAGATTTAATGTTATATTTTTAAGCTATTTCTTATCAATGTATCAAAGAAGAACATGTATACTTACTCTCTGTCAATAACATTTAGTAATACTTTTAGAGTTCTTGCTTTAAAAATTAGTAATTTAATTTTACATAATTTAGTTAATATTATTTGTGCTTCTTAGGAAACTTTTAGTTACACTGTGTGGGCTAATTAACAGATAAATTAAATATAAAAATATATTAGTAATTAAAACGTGTTGTATACATTTTAAACGTAGCTAGAAGAAAGTTGCTTATTTATAGTGCTGAGCCACAATATATTCAAGAGAAACTCCCTTTGTAATTACTACACTCCCTGAGTGTAGTAATTACGATTTGTTCACAAATATTTAATAATTGTCGTTATAGGATTGCAAGCTAAATAATTATCAAACTGTTTAATTAGAAGAATCATGGCCAAACACTTACCTGTCAGGATATCGAGCCAACAAGTAATATGTATACATGATAAACTTGCCTTTCTTTCCATCCGCCTCCCGATCTGTGCTCCCTCTTGATCATCCTGATCTGCTCCATCTTCTCAAGGTACCCAGACAACCCCTCTTTAGCCCTCTACATTGTAGCTTTGATAACTTACTGCATCTTATAATTTCTATGTTTCGTTTTTTCTACGTAATATTCAACCACACATCTCCCTCAAACGTGAGGACACTTGTGTTCCGGGTTTTTCGTATGCTATTTAGGTAATTCTAACGATACCTCTTTTTCAGTGTATTCTGGTGTTTTCTGTGGCCCTGAGTGGCTTCATATCCCTGGCCTACCTGGCTATCCCTCCAGCTCGCACCTCACCTAACTACTCAAACAAAGTCTCCTTCAGCCTCAGTTGCGACCCAGGGTTCGTCCTCACTCCAAGCTCACTCAAGCAGGATAAGGACAAGTGCGTTTTCTTCAACAAAACCGTGACGCTTTCCTCGGTGGAAGCTAAAGAATGTGGGTACTTGTGTAAGCAAGCAGCAGTCGAATATCCCGCGAAACTGCTCAAAGAAGTCAAGAAAGTAAAGTTGGTGCAGGCAGTCAATCCTCTTTTATATCACATGTGTAAAATCCAAAACAGTAAAGACAACATGCCGGTGACACAAAAGTGCTTCAGGAAGAACCTCAACAAGTCTCTGAGTCACGAGAACATGCCTAAATCCTTTATGATTCACAATTTACGTCTTCCCTTGTCAGAAATCGATCGCACTCAACTGAAGATTCCGGTCGCAAACTTTACTATGTCCGCCGAAGAGCTCCGTAGCTTCGAGTGCCTGAAAGGTCGTGTACCCAAGAAGATTTCCGTTCCCAAGATCACCATGGAAGAGGATTCTCCAGATTTTACAGAAACAGCTGCGTCTGTTGAGTGTCATTTCCACTGTCAAGCGACCATCTCCCATAACCTGACTTGCGAGGATCGACCACACAGCATAGTGCACAATGTGGCTCTGAGCTTCTGGCTCTTTGTCACGGCAAACGTACTGAGCAAACTCTTCATCGGGCTTACATATACGCTCTTTGAGGTGGCAGTAGTGGCTATCCTCAAGGAGTACGGCTATGACTACGGACTCCAGAGGATCTATGGCTCCATCGGTGGCATGGTCTTCGCACCACTGTCTGGCTTCTTCATCGACCACTTTGGAAAAGGAGGCCACTACCAAGATTATTAGTAAGCACCACATTATTTAGCATCATATTATTATATATTAGTGTGAAGAGCTTAATCCATGTGGATCACTTGTCTCAAGGAAGTGTAAAGGCTCGATCCACTGTCCACCAAAAGGAAACAGACGTGCTACTCATGTAGATGGGTTCCCAAATTTGTGTTACTTGTATTATATGTAATAAGTGGTATAAATTAATAGCAGCTATTATAGATTGCTAGCATTATTGTGGATTATTAATGTTCTACACTATTAGTGTCATTGATAATTATAGTAAGACATTACATAAGATGATAAGTAAGTGTTATAGATTTTTTAGAGTTATACATTATTTATGTTTATGATTATTAATGTTATAAATCATTTATTCTATAGACTATTAATGTTAGAGAATATTGTTATTATTATTAGCCTACAGATTATTAATTTTAGGACTTTTTTCAGATTATAATAATAATAATATTGAAAGTTAAGATACATGTGCAACATCTGGATATCTTTATTGTAGACGTTTCGCCATCCAGTGGCTTTATCAATACAGATTCTAGGACATAATTAGAAGACAGTAGAACTATATACAAAAGATGAGGTAATCAGTCCCTCAGCCTTGGAGTTAGTGTTCACAGCATCGTGGTGGAGGAGAATCTGGAGTAAAGGTAAGGAGACTGGCGGTTATATAGGCATCAGTGGATAGGGACGTGTAGCAGACGAGGGCATAGTCACTGGTAGACGGGATTCCCCACTGGAAGTAGGTCGTACCCAAATGGATGGGTTAAAATACCGGTATTTTATACCTTTCTTGCACATTACAATAATAACTCAGATTATTAATTAGATTTATAGATTAATAGTGTGGTAGATTATACTGTCTAAGTCGCAGAAATCTGATAATGGTACATATACACGATAGTCTACATTAGCACATAATTTTAATTTAGTATGAGTATTTATAGAGCAGGAACTAATGTTTTCAAATGTTTACAAATTGGTCACTAATGTTTATATACTTAGAGGAATATTGGACAATCACCAATATTCATAGGCTCAAATGTGTGCCTATTAGTTACTAGGGCTAATGCTCTCAGATATTTAAAGGCCATCCTCTTATGATGTTTATTCGTTTTAATTCTGTTGACTGAAAAATACTGGGCAAGATTTATCAATTTTCACCAATAAAAAAATGTTCTTTCTTGAAGACGTTCTAAATTTGGTGTTTTCTTCTGTGGCCAGTGTGATGTTCATCTTCTACTGTTGCCTGAAGGTGTTGTGTGCCTTCCTGCTGATGAAGGTTGACTTGCGATTCAAGGTCCCCGCCAGGAGCCTCTGCGAGAATATGGGAAACCTCTTAAGGAACCTGGAGGTGCTTCTGTTGCTCTGTGTTGTCTTCATCTCAGGTGAGAGAAGTATGTGTGTGTGTATTCTCTTGTAATGTGTAGCCCATTCCTGGGGTTCCCACCTACACGACCTGTTTCCAGGCCAGGCCTTGGGGGGTTGATGCCCTGATCAATCAGGCCGTTGGTGCTCGCCGCACGCACTAAGTTATACCTTTCTTGTTAATACGGGAAGCCTTTCTAGGAGCGTATATTTGTTTTTATCTCACGATGCGAACGGAGGAGCGAGCCTCTACTATTTCTTAAGCTGAATGACCCACATGGATTTAGCGCTTCTCATGAAAAATAAATTAATTATAATTTCATTTGAAGTGGACAAAAGTCAATTTTTTTTTTTTTTGCCAATAGTTGACGAAATCAGATTTGAATTAAGGAAAGGTAGGGTAACCCCAGATCCTTGAATCAAGACCCAGCACCAACATCAACGATCTTGATACCGATGAAAGGGGCAAGAAAAGAACAAACTCCTTAAAATTCTCAACATCACCCCTTGTAGGGTTTCTAGTATTAGTAATGATAGTTACTGAGTATTCACAGTAGATGACATCGGTATTATCCAAAAAATGTTTCTGTTACTAGTATTTCCTTGTACTACCATCATCCGTTACGGCTTTATCAAGCCGTAACGGCTTGATAAAGCTCCTGGAGAGCGAACCTTACCACAATAAATTGTCACATTAGTTACACTTGAGTCCTTTTACTTAACATATTGTCGGTAATTCTACCAACATTAATACAATTATAAATGTTCCCTTAATGTGCATTACCATAAACTTTCCAACATTGTACACTACCATAAATTCTTCTGTATTTTGTGGGTAAAATCTTAATATTCAACATTTAAAAAAAGGAGAAATGTCTCCATTATAATAATTAAACACACTGGGGCCATCGTGGTGGCCATCGTGGTGGCCATCGTGGTGGCCATCGTGGTGGCCATGACGCTCTATTTTATGAGCAAAATAATATTTCAAGGACGCGAGGGACTTTCGTGAGTGATATGACCAAGTCCTAGTCACGCAATAATCATATATGTAATTCAGGTTTCTGAGTGCATTCCTAGGCTCTGGTCCCTCATGCTGGTGGGTCTCTTGTTTAACGTTGCTTGTTGGAAATATTGCGCAGGGTAAACAATCACTTTAGAGGAAGTCACACAAACAATGCCTTTCAGCGGTATGCAAACAAATCTTCATTCAGTACTTGAAAACCGTGACGATGATTGTTCATAACCGACTGAAAAGTCTTTTTAAGTTGATGTTGGTGAGGGGATTCTTAATTAATTTTTTTTTCTACCTTTCCTTTTTTGGATCGAACCTGGTTGCCTTCTATTTCCCAGTCGCTTTTCAGTCCATTCTGCTTTAGCGTTTTCCCCATGAATATCATGATCATCACCCTAGATACGTTAGTTAGTTTAATAGTTTTATTATGTAACTCTTAAACAAAATGTAGGCGGTAGTCAAAAGGTTGGACAGGTACATAATGGGTCCAGGTAATGAGCCGCAAAGTTTTGATTGCTAAGCATTATAGTAGTACTGAACTATTTACAAATTAATGATCATGTAACTGTCTTAATGAATTGTTTGCACAGACATGAATGATTAACAAAACATTATCCCAACTCTGGGTTTATTTGCGAATTGAAATTTTAGGCCCCGTGGCCCTACTGACCGCTTCTCCCTCACTCAGGAATGTGCTACGGCTTCATTGAGAACTTCCTGCCGTGGCACCTGCATGATCTAGGAGCCACCAACTGGTTCATCGGCTGCCTCACCACCATCGCCTCCGTCGCTGCACTGCCCTTCCTGGCCTGCTCCGGCGCTATCTGCAAGAAGTTCGGCAATTTCCAAGCCATTGCCTTCGGCCTCGTCTGCTATTCAATCCGCTGTATCGGTGGGTAATTGACGATGCTGGTATTGTTATATGTTATGTGAAAGGGGTAGGAAAGTGTTGGAGGCTCGACCCTCTGTTCGCTAATCGGTGGGTATGGGGATATTGAATTTTGGATGGATTTCTGAGCTGTAATGACATTGTTAGGGTGAGTGATGGTGAGAGTTTTTCTTCTTTTTTGAGTTACCAAACCTTGGTGGAAAGCAGACAGTGTGTTTATAATAAAATAATAATAGCAATTATAATAATATTATTATTATTGTTGTTGTTGTTGATGTTGTTGTTGTTGATGTTGTTGTTGTTGATGTTGTTGTTGTTGATGTTGTTGTTGTTGTATTCATGTGGATGTCCTAAACCGCAGCATTCAGGTTTGATCAAAGGAGGGAGAGAGTACCTAAATTTCACTGCAAAAAGATCTCTTACCAACATCTCTGGATGAAAGTACTGTATGCAAAAGTACGTAAAAGACTTGAAATCTATAACAAAACAACTGGTTAGCTAATTTAAAGCTTTTGATTAATTAGAGTCAGGCTTTACTGTATTAATCTAAAATAATTCCCTCTCTTAAGCAAATATAGAACAAATAAAATAAACCAGTTTGATATTTACCAGCTCAGCCGGACTGAAGGATCTGAATGTTATTCGGACTCAGTGAAAAGTAACCTGGACTAGGTGATAAAAGTTGAAAATTGGAAAAAACGTTATAGAAAGCCGACAATTTTAGTTTCACTCACATTTTGTGCAAGATTCACATAGCCTCTCTTCCCAAATCGCCACAAACAAAATATATAAAATAAAAAAAATGGTCATTACATACTAACAAGATATATGCTCATTTGAAATTTACATTATCCACATAACTCCTACACATGAATTAAAAACAAATCATAATAATGATAAAACAACTCCATTTAAAACATTAGTAAACATAAACACTAAAAAAAATGCTAAACAAAAAGACTCACACTGGAAGCCAGCTTAAGTAAGCATTTGAGTGACATTACGTAGCAAAAACTATATTCTTCCTCTCCCTCCCTTTCTCCCTCTCCCCATCCCCCTCCTCTCCCCGAGCAATCAGGACCACTTGAGAATACCAGTGTGGCGGGCCAGCGAGAGGAGTGTCCTCACCAACTACTTCTGTACCAGCTTCCTACTCCTCCCATCATCACATCCATCTCTTGCCAGGGCCACACCCATCCTTCTGCATGACATGTAAACGTCCTTATATTCACATGAATGTTAAATTCATGATCTTTGATACATTGTGCCATTGTATTCATGTTTATGTTTTTTCTGTAAATGTATTTTGTTTATTAATAAATGTTCACATAGAATATAAAACATATAGGGGTGAAAGGAGAAGAAAATATTCAAACAGCTCATCTCTGAGGATGAGCGTCCCCATTCCAGCTATAGAGGTGGTACTTCCCTTATAATATTAATATATATATATATATATATATATATATATATATATATATATATAATATATATATATATATATATATATATATATATATATATATATATTATAATATATATATAATAATTTCAAAAAGTCGATCTTGGTTATTCAGTTAAATTTCAGAGGTGGAAGAAAATTTGTGGAGGAAACCGAACGAGGACACTGTAAATATGGGAACCTGACAGAACTTTTTTTTGTGGATGTTGAAGAAAAATAGAATTTTTAACATAACTTTATAACCCTGGAAGCAGGAGAGCTACCAGTCATGAGGAAAACTGTAAACGCAAGGAATGCAAATATATGTATAATTATCTTATAGTAATCGCATAGTCCACAAGCATCTCTATAATTTGGACCAGTATCCATAATGTGCATACCTTTCGATGTGTTGAAGAAAATACTAAGTAAATTAATAAGAATTTGCTTGGATAGGATAAGTTTCTTCATGCAACACAAATTGGTTTTCATAGAAAAAAAAAAAAAATCTTCTTTTGAGGACCTAATTGAGTTTTATGACAGGATGACGGGTTTCAGGGAAGAACGTGGCGGGAAGGTGCATTGCATATTCATGGACTTCCTTAAAGGACTTTTTGCACAGTGCCTCACAAAAAGGTGGTTTACAAGATAGAAAACACAAACTGGTGTGCCTGGGAGGTTGGAACACTGAACAACAGTGTCTACATGTTCATGATAATAAAGATGGATACTGAAGAGTCACACTGAATCATATCAACCGGGATGGAAACATCGTAAATGAGAATACGACCTGGAGACTGATGAGGCAGGAAATATTTTGTCTGAGGCACACAGAAATAAGGTGATTTCGGTAGCACTGGCGAGGCTGGTGACAATAGGAACATCCCTCAAGAGTCATAATCGGGAATCCTTCAAAATTTTATACGCCTTACGTGTAAAATTAATTTCGAAATATTCAGCACTAGAATGACCGTCTTGTATAAAAAAAAAAATTAGCAAGTCCAGAGGATTACCACCAATTTGATCCCTGAAACAGGGAAATCGAGCTATACTGATAGGCACAAAGAGATAACTTACACAGCGATGGATGACAGCATAGTGGAAGAGAACATAATCCCAACATACAAGATACTCAGTTTAAGTGAACAGAAGCTGCTGGTAAGTGACTGGACAAAGACGAGGGAACACAAAAAATGAGCACCCAATTGACTAGAGACATGTAGGAAGAAAATCTTCAGCTTGAAGGTAGTGAGTACGTGGGAGCCACTGATGGAATGTATTGAACTGTATTGCATTTTGTTTTCTTAAGGTGATAAAACCGTGTGAGTCATTCAGTCCAAAGACTGCTGGATACTCGATTCTCCGTTCGCTAATCGCGGCTAGGTCTCTGATCACTCAGGCTATTGATGATCGCCACCAGATATTTGTTAATACCCAATAGGGAATGAAGAAGATTCGACTAACTCCAAATATGACTTCAAAAGTAAATATGATAAAATGCATGAAGTTAATAGTCGTCATATCAGCCAACTGTTTGTTAAGAGGACCGACTCAGGACATTGAGGTTGGACCCAGGATATAAAGGCAGGGGCCAAAAGACAGAGCTCATCTTACGTAATCTCATAAAGGGAAAAACACACCCAGAAACACAAACACGCAATCAAAAGCGCTCACACACACACACACACACACCAGCCCACTTTAAACTTTCATTTGACGCTATCCTGTTGCTGGGTCATGACCTTCGCAGGATGAGCATATATATCCTCTCATTAAAATAAACATGTCCTTAACTATGGCGGAGCCAGTGCCACCAGCCAACCAAAGAGCGCAGCTACACCTGTTTGTGGAGAGCAAGTCACATTTGTTGACAGGGACACAGACTTGCAGACAGATGCATTGTTGGACGAACCAACTTACAAATAAACTTGCATACTCATAGATAAATACATACTTTGCCTGAGAGAGTGAATACTTACAGACAAACATTATTCACAGTTTCAAGGCAGGTATGATAATTCTCAAGAAAATTCGGGAACACAACGAAAAACCTTAAAATGTGCACCTAAGCACCAAGGATTCACCCTCTACAAAAAAAATCAATAAATATATATATGTGAGTACATATAAACTATCACAAGCACAAGAGCTTTCAAAAGTTATCTATACATGGCCAAGCAAGATGTCAGCTTACTTACAGTCAGGAAAGAAAGCAAGAGAAAGAGGAATAAAGTATACACCAGAGGATAGCTTTGATTTAGCCATCATTAAAAGCTTATGAACAGTTATTTACACTATATACAGTGAGTATAAACTAATACCATAATATAAGTAAATACCATAATATGAGTAAAGAGAGAGAGAGAGCATAAGTATGAGGACTCTCAATTCTACAATTTCAATCATCCATACATAAGGCAGATTCAAGTATGGTGTTAATCAGCTCGAGACTCTTTAGGGTCTGAAGGTCCAGGTCATCCCCTACTTGAGAGATACCTTACCCTGAGATCCCCTCCGTCTCCCTTAACAAGCAGAAATTTCAGTACAGCTGTCAGTCACCCAGTTCTCCAGTAGTGCAGTTACTAAGAAAAAGCAATGAAGTATAGTGATTTAAAACTGGCTTATAATGACATACAGGAATGTGATTACAAGTGATGCACGTTGATTACAAAGATTCATAATCACATACAAACGCACATACTCGCAAAAACACAGTCATAAAGGTAAATCGCAGGCAAGAGTACATTATCACGTGAATCGCTCAAATTCAGATAAAAGCAAATGCTGGCATTAAAACGCACATACAGACAAACGAACATATTCATTTTTACCAATAATAACAATAATAATAATAATAATATCATTATTTTTATTATTATTCCTTTTCTACGGCAGGTTACTCTCTCATCCAAGACTACTACTGGTGCGCGCCCTTTGAGGTGCTGGAAGGCGTCACCACAGGTCTCCTTGTGACTGCAGCCATCATCTATGGATCCCAGTTAGCCTCCAAGACAAACGTGGCCACGCTGCAGGGAATCCTGGCTACCCTGCACTATGGTCTGGGTGAGTGAAAACCTCCTAACCTGTGTCGAGGATTAACGAGTGATTTGGATATACTACTTCTATTACGTAGCAGTAAATAGATATGTGGGAATTGGTCAAGGTTAGTAATCTGCAAAAGTAAAGGGCCATCTTCGTCTAAAAATGCTGTTTCCAATGAATTTAGCTACAAAAATAGAGCCAAGTACTTATATGAACTTCAAACTGTTCATAATTGCTCAAACATTTCAAGTTGTATTGTCGATATATTAATGTAAAACTTTTAAAATTATTCTTCAAATTTTGCTTTATTTTGCTAATGGTGTTAAGATAAAAGTTCATTTGACGGCTTATACATGTATGTGTAAATTAACAGAGATCCTAGTGGAAATAAGTCTGAGTTTATTGGGTTATCCTTTATCCTGTTCCCAAATAAATAAGATAAAATATTGCATGTGCTTATTATATCTATGTGCCTTCAAGAATATTATATAAAAATTTATATGCTCTGTACCAAAAGCCTCAGTCACGACTTATTTCCTCAGAGATCATTATTATGTCGCGCTGAATAGGTAAAACTTGCGATTTTGGCTTAAATAGCAACGCTCTTCTTGCCGAATAAGGCAAATGAAAATTTGTGTATGCAGTAATTTCGCAAAAATCATTCTGAACCTAACGAAAAAATATATTTCATTGTGTTTATTATTAAATTATTGTAAACTCATTTAAAATATATTTAGTTGGATTAGGCTAAATTAAAATGCGCTTGTTATAATATGTTAGGTAAGTTTTCTAAGGTTCTTTTGGTACAAAATTATAAATTTTTACATTAACATAAATGAAAAAGACATATCTTTAAACGTATAAGAGAAAATTTTAGGGCTTAATTTTAGATGAGTTCTTGCTAAATGACCAATTTTACCTATTCCTTTACCTTTGCAGGCAAAAGCATTGGCAGTTTGCTTGGAGGATACCTCATGTCAAAACTCAAGGCTCCTTTTACTTTTCAAATCTTCAGTGGAATCTCTCTAGTATCTGCTTTCTGCTACTACTTAATCGGGAAGTTGCTCATCATGCCTAAGCACGCTCGAGCCTTAAAACGCCGACAGGAAATCATGGCTATGCCTATTGAGACTATATCTCGCAAGGAACACAAAAAAATGAGCACTCTTAAGAGGAAAGAAGAGACCAAGAGATCCGACAAAGCCAAGGAGAATGAACAAAAAGGACAGCCACCGTTGCCCGTTACAGAGAACGCCGAAGTTCACATGGGAGAAAACGGAGTTCTTGACGACACTCAGATGACAGACTTACCTCCAGACGATACCATGATATCCTTAGATGAGTCCTTTGTGGAAAATGAAGGGCAAAAGAAAGAGAAAAGTTAGTTCTAGTGCTTTCCACTGCTTGTGAAGTCATATTCATTGCGGAAAATGTTGTGGTCTAGTGTGTCTATTTTTAATTACTGTGAGTGTCTGGTAATAGTCTTAAGAATTACAGAAAAAAACGAAAATTGGTATGAAAGTTATTGTAAAAAATGGGTGAAAGAAACATTACATAATAATGTTGTGTTACCAATGAAAAACTGCAAAAAATAAAGAATATATCTTGAATAAAAATATTCTAAATATATATACCGTGAGGTGCCATGGAGTGCCATGATGCCAGTGAAAGGCTCTTGATTTAATGAATTTGAGACAGTCTTCTCTCCCATGGATTAATTCTACAGGTGCCGTCTATCGCATCCTTATTATAAGAAAAATTTCCTATAGTAATTTAAAAAAAAAATCTTAGGTACATCCACATTGTGTGGCTAAACTGAAGAAATATTTTACATTTAACAAGGTTAGAGAAAGAGTTAATGATATATATCTAACAGTCATCATGTAGGAGAATTTCTGTAACACTCAGGACGTTGTTCTTGACCTTCGTCAGAGAAAGGTGTTCCTGTTCCGTGTGTTACACAAGGTCATACTCATGACATTCTCCAACGAACAGGATGGGGTCTTTTCCAACGAACAGGATGGGGTCTTTTCCAACGAACAGGATGGGGTCTTTTCCAATGAACAGGATGGGGTCTTCTCCAACGAACAGGATGGAGTCTTTTCCAACGAACAGGATGGGGTTCCACCAATAAAAAAAATATGGTGTTAATGTTACATTCCATCACACGATGGCATTTAGAATTTCATCCTATTTTTTTAATTAGTAAATGCAAACTAAATGTTGAAGAAAAGAGCGAAGTATCGAGAACGACGGGGAAAAATGTGTAAGATTCTCAACTGAGGATTATAGTGTGTTTACAATAGAAAATTTTTAAATGAAACGAATTTTAATATTAAACAGAGAGCTAAAATGTAGGAAGATTTAAAGCATGAACAAATTGTATTTATTCGATAGAAAAGACCCTAGGTTTTTTTAGGCTTAACTAGGCAATTTGGCTTATTTAGCACGATATATATATATATATATATATATATATATATATTCTAGGTAGTAGGTTGGTAGACAGCAACCGCCCAGGGAGGTACTACCGTCCTGCCAAGTGAGTGTAAAACGAAAGCCTGTAATTGTTTTACATGATGGTAGGATTGCTGGTGTCCTTTTTTTTCTGTCTCATAAACATGCAAGATTTCAGGTACGTCTTGCTACTTCTACTTACACTTAGGTCACACTACACGTGCATGTACAAGCATATATATGTATATATACACATCCCTCTGGGTTTTCTTCTATTTTCTTTCTAGTTCTTGTTGTTGTTTATTTCCTCTTATCTCCATGGGGAAGTGGAACAGAATTCTTCCTCCGTAAGCCATGCGTGTTGTAAGAGGCGACTAAAATGCCAGGAGCAAGGGGCTAGTAACCCCTTCTCCCGTATAAATTACTAAATTTAAAAAGAGAAACTTTCGTTTTTCTTTTTGGGCCACCCTGCCTTGGTGGGATACGGCCGGTTTGTTGAAAAAAAAAAAAAAAAAAAAAAAAAAAATATATATATATATATATATATATATATATATATATATATATATATATATATAATATATATATATATATATATAATATATATGTGTGTGTGTGTGTGTGTGAGTGTGTGTGTGTGTGTGTGTGTGTGTGTGTGTGTGTGTGTGTGTGTGTGTGTGTGTGTGTTGTGTGTGTGTGTGTGTGTGTGTGTGTCGTGCCGAATAGGTAAAACTTGCGATTTTGGCTTAAATAGCAATGCTCTTCTTGCCGAATAAGGAAAGCGAAAATTTGTGTTTACACTAGTTTCGCAAATAAAAAAAAGCCAAATATCTTTCGACAAGAGCCTTTGACAACTAGTAACTAACATACACACGCACGCACGCACGCTCCACCTACGCATGCACAACACATGCAACCCACTGACACAGTTCCTCCATTGACCAGAAACGCCAAGTTTATTGGTCAACCACGAAAGCACTCAGTTGAGGTCTCCTGCCTCGCCTCTCACACACTGCCACCTTGCACGGCCAGAGCGCACCCAGAACTCAACACCGCGCTGTAAGTTAAGAATCGTTAAAACAATAGGAAACATTCAATACCTCTATGGAAGGGAAAGCAATCAAGTAAGAGTAACTGAAACTCCTCCGAACAAGAACAACCCATTAGCATTAATTTACCCCTTGAAGAAATCACTCGTCTAATATACCAGGAAAATACTAATGAGAAAAAAAGATAGTAATCGTGCCTATGTGAGATGGACAAAGGAATGTGGTTGAATGGACAGGTATTTTGACAAGTGCTTCACAATCTTGGTGGTATAATGTGGGCCACAAGAGTCAGATTATCTGGTAATTTTCCTGGTAGTCATTGTGGGTTGTCGGCACGGTCATTCTCAGCCAGGTGAAGGAAGTGGCGGAGAAATTGTTAGATTGTTAGCACGGTTAGTAGGTCTATTACCTCGTTGTGATCGTAGGGGGACTTCAATGACCCATTTTTTTAGTTCTAGTTACCTGTGCCTAGGCTGCACAGTAATCAGCAAACGACCGAATTACCGTAATGGTCCAAGATTCGGGCCGGTTTAGCCATATGGGAAAGTCTAACACCTGTTGCCCGGATTCACCTACAGGCGAATTCAACTGTATATGCATATATATGCTCACAAAATACCATTTGCTTTAAGCCCTTCTCTTCGTGTCGGAGGCTTGTAATGTCAAACTTATAATGCTGGAAATTGCATCGTTATTAATGGGTATCTGCGATGTATAGCCCTTGTGATTTAGCGCTTTTTTTTATTATAATAATAATATTGTTGGGTATCATTATAACTACCTGTTGGTACTACCGGGAATAATTTCCCCGCCACCTAGTTTTAGACCAAACCGGTGGTACCCTGTTTGTCTCGCATTTAGCGTACGAAACACCAGTCCCACGACACCTCTCGTTGAATGATGCACACGAGTTTAGGCATCTCTTTAATAAGTAAATATAGGCACCCACTTGATATATGTATTCACCCATGGCTGATCAAAACTATGTCTAGGAATATTTCACGTTTCCTATAGAAATCACATAGTCATCACTAGGGAATTTATCGCACATATGGAACCACGGCGATAAAACCTACTGCTACTGCTGTTATCTAGGCATTGATATAAGAACCGTTATCGGTGCTGTGGAAACGCTGACGCAAGAACTGCTACTCCTTCTACGAAACAGCTAACGAAAAACCTGCTACTGCTCTTAAGGAACAACTGATACAAGAACTGCTACTGCTGGTATGGGATCATTGACTCAAGAATTGCTACTGCTGCTTTGGAATCGCTGATACAAGAGCTGCAAATGCATCTAAGGAATCATTGACGCAGAAACGCTACTGTTGTTATGGAATTATTGATACAAGAGCTGCTACTGCTGTTATGGAACTATTGACGTAAGATCTGCTATTCTTGAAAGATAACTTCCATTGCAAGCGTAAGTAATGACGTAGCAATGTTGTGGTTCAAGTGTTAGGTAACTGAAGTTGTAAACGTAACAAACCAAAAGGGGAAAAAAACGTAGTGATGAATGCAAGAAATCAATTGCAAGACAGATGGCTAGGCTAGAAAGGAGGTAAAAACAGACAACATAACAAAGAGAGAGAGAGAGAGAGAGAGTTTGTGGTTACATGAAAAACGGAGGAGAAAGCAAAGTGAATAAAAATTTTGGAAACGAAGTGAAACTGAAAACAACAGTGGAGATGCGGTGTGACTTTTTCTAACTTGGGTTTATTGTGAAAACGTTTCGCCACCCATTGGCTTCATCAGTCCAATACACAGAAGAACGGTGGAAGACGAGAAAGAGTTTGAGACAATCAGTCCTACCTGAAGAGGATGTGTACAATCCATTATTCTTAATAAAAGTGCAGCAGATGCGCTTGCCTATGTAATTTTGGCTGTATTTGTGGATACTTGTAGGTGAGGATTATAAAACATTACGAAAGGAGAGATTATTAGTTCACTTGCAGAACACCTGAAGGTAAATGCGTTATCTATTAAGAATTTTGTATATTTTAAACATCATAGGGAGAGTTAATAAGTGAATGATTTCCAGTGTGGGTGATATCTAGCTAGGGTATAATAACTGTGAGATGTCATAACAGACGTAAGAGTAATATGGTTGTTGGTTATTAATAAGGGTAAGATAACTATTGTGGATGGTCGTCAGTATGAAATTACCAATTTAGTCGTTAGACATGATAATATTACAATTTTGCTTTGTCTTTATTTTGGACGGTCGTAAGATTACCCTTCTAGGGAAGAGGGTTGTTAGCAAGCGTAAGATAACCATTGTAGGCGGTTGTTATCTTGGGTAAGAATACCACAGCGGATGGGAGGAGTTGCCATAATTGCACGAAGTGGGGTGATGGTGCTGTTTTGCCCCGGGTAACGAGCTGGGAATCCTAGAGAGTTGTTTAGGCTTGGGAAGCAGAAGTGGGATGCTGAGAGTAAGTTGAAGAGAGAGATTCTCACCGCTACAGGAGCATCACTCCCAGGTTATGGTTAGCTTCGCAGGGTGGATGCTGCGAACCAGGTTAGGTTACACGTGTAACAGATGCTTTGTCCAACCACGAGAACGCAGATAATAATAATAATAATAATAATAATAATAATAATAATAATAATAAAAATAATAATAATAATAATAATAATTATTATTATCATTATTATTATTATTTGTTGTTGCTGTTATTTTCATTATCATTATAGTAATTATATTTTATCATTATTCATTTATTTATGGAGAAGTGCTAAGCCCGTATATAAGAGAATTCTGCCAGTAAGAGTTAAGCATCCTAGTGTTTATAGAGCGTATAAGGAATGATTGGGAGAGCTGTCAGATAGAGAGAGAGAGAGAGAGAGAGAGAGAGAGAGAGAGAGAGAGAGAGAGAGAGAGAGAGAGAGAGAGAGAGAGAGAGAGAAAGAGAAAGAGCGGAGAGAACAGTAGTGTCAGACTAAGAGTGAAAGTAGACTAAGTACAAACCCAGGGGAGCAATCAAGGGAACGGGATAAACTGGATAAACGGGATAAACGGGATAAACTCCGACGATCAGTCCCTGATCAAAATTCCGCAATAAGCGATGAACGCTAGCGACAACTGGCAGTCGTCGCTATGAATGCTC